ACCATAATACTTACTATCATTGATCAGAACTTTCTTCCTTTTTCTGTGCAGCAGCAAAGATTACTCAGCCTGAGCACAGAACTGATTTTGGGTATAAAGCAAATAAAAGACCATCTTATTGGTATATTGTCATGAAACAGTAAAGGAAGAGACAGCTATTTCCACCCTTTCTTCCCTTCCCCCAACCCCAGCACTAAATTTTCAACATCCTCTCATTGAAAGGAGAGGAAAAAAAAAAAAAACTTTAAAGAAAAACTAAAATGGGTTATACTTGCAAGAAAGTGTCCATGTACACCGACAGAAAGGGTAACAAAAACAGATAAAAAGATGTAAGCTGCTTTTCCAGTTGATGCTTGATGCAGGTATTTTCTTGAAAATTTTACATAGATGATTCTTCATCTCAGATCACATCAAATTACTAAATTTGTTTTTTAAAATGTAAATTTTATTATGATTTACTGAAAAGTTATTTCTGAAATGGTTAATAAACCACATACCATGTTACACTGCTTGTGAGATTAAACACTGACTAAATCACTAAAAAAACTAAGGAGTGACATAAAGTAGCAATTTTGAAAAAAAAATGATATTTTTAAAGTGAATAACCTATATCAGATGCTATAAACAAAGTTCAGTATTTCTATTATATTTCACATAATTACATTATTCAAAAGGCTTTTAGGAATGACACATAACATTCATGTTGTTAGTCTACATTTTTTCAGGACAAGCAGAATTGAGAAAGGGGTTGAATTGTGACAAATAAAAAAAAGAGTATCTATATATATTTAAAAACAGAAGCTGCCTTACATAAGACTGCTCAGATAGAAATTAAGCCTGAAGTTTTCATCAAATAAACAGTAGGAATGGTGGAAGTTAAACATTTGCATGGATAGGCGTATCTTAAATATAATTGATAAGAAAAAGACTACTTGGAAGAAAGAGGCTACTGAGCTCTATGAATCAAATGAGTTTCCAACTTACATATCATTTCACAATAACACCAAAAAAGGCAAAACAAGGTCAAAGACCCTTTCTGTGAAGTCAGAAGCAATCTTCCACCACAGTGTGTTTGTATGCTCTCCATCTGGATCCCACAGGCTACAATTAGCCCAAAACAGATCACAATATTCTCATCCTGGTTCACAACAAAACTTCTCATTTACTAGCTTAGATGAATAGCTGTGCCTATGATTTCACTTGTAAACAGGACTGAAGGAAGCTTTAGTGTTCACTCCAAGAGGTAGCGTAGTTCCCTGTGAATAGCTACTAAAGGAGCCAGCAATGAGCCTGCATGGAGCACCTCAACTGCTCTTACATTACCAAGGGCAAATGCTGTCTCCTGGGATGCTTTCTTACACAAGAGAAAAAGTTTTAGGATAAAACTATGCCTCTGAAATAAGCCATCAAGTAAGAGTAAAGCAGAGGAGCTCAACTTTACTTGAAGGAGCAGGAGAGTCACAGCTCTTAGAAATGAGTCAGAGCAAGGCCTCAGGCTTGGGAGAGTGGGGGCCTCAGGGTCTGAGATTAAAACCAGGACAGAAATATAGTGCCTATGGCAAAATTAGATGGATGAGAAATAACACGTGAATTTTGTAGATCTGTCATGGAAGAAAAATCACAAAAAGATCTGGGAGGAGCTAAGATTTGGTGGATGTAGATAGGACAGATAAGTGTGGCACTGAGCAGTGATTGGAGAGAAGCTGGGAAGGGAAACTGGCTTTTGACAAGTAAGAGAACTCTGAGGAGAGAGAGGACAAGATAGCAGATTCTTCTTTTTAATTAACATACAAATTATAACATCATTATGGACATCTGATAAGACATATTTCTTTTGGGAGAACTACTTTTGGGAAAAAAAAAAAAAGTCAGGGGGGAAGAAGCAAAAGGCAAGCACTCTTCCTTCCACCATCTACCTTCAAACTTTCTCACACACACGACAAGGAGTATTTACTTTTTGTAAAGATAATTCTTTTTGATGCCTAATTTAATATACTTGTTTCTAATTGTCAAGAATCCTAAAAAATCTCCAAGTAGAAATCCTATATTAGTAGGGGCATCAAGGTCAGATAACAAATCATCAGTGGAGATCAATTTTTATTTTAAAAGAAAAGTATACATATTTTTGTGGACAAAGTTAGTATGATGCGCAATATCATCCCTGTGTTCTTCCATGAAAGAAGAGACATCACCTAAAGTACTAACAGCTTATTTGGATTTAACACTGGCATGAATAGTAGAGCAAGTTTAGATCACTGCACATAAAAAAAAAAAAAAAGAAAGTTTCTTCCTCCAAACAAGTTATAACCTAATAGCAGGAACAAACATTCAAGCATACAAACTGTAAACAGCAACATCTATTTCTCAGTTGACACCAGTGCTCCAAATCAGTAAATATTTGAGCATATTGAGTATTCTCAGTACTATGTAAATAGCAGATTAAGTAGACGCAATATTCTATGCAACTAACTTAATGCCCAAAATAAATACATCAAAAGCATTTTAGATCAGCAGCACATCATGTGCTGCTATGAATATTGTGCTGAAATCTGCCAAGCTATTTTTGAACACTTTCAAAGAACTAGAGTATTTTGAGAAGAGACTGAAGACGTGTTGACTTGTTTTTGTTACAGAATTCTCTTTTCCAATCTGGCAACGTAGCCTTCGTAAATTAATATTAAAATACCTTCTTTTTTAATTGAATCTATGCCTCTTATTTTCAGCAGAAACACTCAATTTTTTCAGTGGCCTAGCATTGCTTATCCTAAATACTTGGGGCTAGGAAACAATCAATAGCTTCTAACAAGCCCTGGATATGCAATGTTTTTAACAATCACATTTGCAGTTCTTCGGCTATCAGAGAAGACCTCCAAGTAGCCTGTACATTTTCATATAAAAGATGAAGCTGTTAAACGTTGTTTTGTTTGGCCCACACTTCCAAAGCTAATAGCTTAAAAACAAAATAAAATTTATAAGGTTGAGACTGTTAATATCAAGGTAATATGTATTCTAACATTCTATTTAAAATACAGCTTTACAAATAGGTAGGCATGACAAATGTTAACGCTCTTTCAGTTACGTAGTCTTTCCAAGTATCTTAAGGTATATTCAGCTTACAGAATTTCCTCTGAAACTGAATCACTCACTGAGTTTTCAATAATGTTTCAAAACACATGCTTCATTTACCATTCTGGAAAACCCAGTAAACGGTCTGAGGGGAAGAGCTCTATGACTGGAACTACAGATCAAAGTCTGACCTCAGTTCATTTTGGAGTGTAGATTATTTTCAATCTACACAAAACGCAGAAAGTGGAGGTTATTCTTTGTTACTCTATAGTGCAAAAAAAGCAGGGTGCAACCTCTCAATCATGACTGCGAAAAGCTCTTTCATTTAGCAGTTAAGGGACCTCAGGGTATCTCAACAGCTCACAACTTTAGTCAGGGGACCTTGAAAGAATGCCATTACTGTCAAGTCTTTCTACACACACGTATTTTAGCACAAGCTGGTTTCCCTATGCTGATTTTATGTTGGCACACTTCATACTCAAACATTATGCAATCTTCTGTCTAGCAGCACAGCACCATTTATTTCCAATTTTTTTCTAAAATAAGGAAGTTTCTCTGCTTCAATCACTGTCTCACTGATGTAGCAAATCGGTTTTACTTACAAGGCACCAGACTGGAAGTCTGGACTAGAGTACCTCTCCGCACTTCTCAGGAGTTGCATCAGGATAGGGTTACAGAGAACAGTCCAACCTCGAAGGCACACTTTATGTAGGTCAACCCAAAGAAGATGCACATAACCTTAACACAACATACAGTCCTGGAGAACTTACGAAGAATACATTCCACTACTAGTTCTACTTCCTGAACTGTATCATACGTTTAATTAAACTATCACAGTCCACAGAAGCTGTCAGCATTTCTTCATTCTAACACATCACTTGAGGGCGATGCCTCTAACACACTATCTTTTAAACTTCTAAGAGGTTAGGTTATCGACTTCAAAACAAAATTGTACAGTCACTAACAGGCTGCTGCAAAGAAAAAACACAGTGCTACCAAATTTGCATTTTTAGAGAATCTAGGAAAGGATAAAAGAGCTTGCAAAATACATATGAAAACTAAAATAAGGGCAACTGTGTATTATTCTATCACTGAAAGATAGCTTTGGGTAGCAATAGCTCAGTTTCTAAAAAGCGGCATAATCGCTTTCCATCAGATGCTTTACATTTTGTTACTTTCCAAGCTACAATTAAGTGAAGCCCGTGTATTCTACAATGACACAGATTTAACAAGCGTCTTGTTGCAACACTCAGAGTCTGCATCAACGATAGGCCTGTAATAACAACATCGACTAACTAGCTTGTTTTCTTCCCTTTACACATTCATACATTGAAAGAGAGCAGGCATTAAGTTACCTCAACGACTTGTATGCCTGACTAAACCACAAAGAAGAAGCCATTCTGCAAAACCAGGAGGTTGCTCTGCAGTTTGTTGTATGATGAGGAGCAAAACATCCTGCACACTCAAGATGATACTCTTCAAGAAACAAGACAAGAACTTCCCTGGATCTAGTATCACAGAGGGTTTCTTGAGGAAGGCACAACAAGAAGTTGGAGTTAACCAGACTATGGTCTGGAACAGCATTTGAATGCCCACCAGCTATGCTGTATACACACTGCGCAAATTTTTAACTCCTGAAATACCAGCAAACACCTTGCATTCAACATCAAAGACTTCAAGATGCAACGATGTGCTCCAACAAATATTCCTGATGCTTTTTGCTGGCAATGATTTTTGTCCTCTGTTAATAAGAACGAAACAGGATACTGAACACCTTCTGAAAACCTGCAAAGATAACCAGGACCTCCATAATCTCTTAATCAAGAGCCAGAAAGTTTGACACCACGGTCTCCCTTATCATAAACTCCATGAACTTCCCAGCTTGCGTTCCCATTACAAAGGGCAACTCCTGCGGCCAAACAACCCGCCCAGGACAACGCAGCCAAACGCAACACGCAGACAGGCGCAAGGCTGAAGAAGAGAACGCAAGGGGACTGCCATGTACCTGCTCTGAAGGTAACGAGGAATTAAAGCCCCACCTGGCACGCAGACGAGAGAGGCTCCCGAGGGGCATGCCCAGGGGACGTGCGCGCAGGCGAGGAGGGGGCTGGCTCAAGAGGGGAAAAAAAACGAGGGAGAGGGGCCAACGCGGAAGGCCACCAAACCAACCCCCCCGCGTGTACGTGAGCCGCGTGCGGCGGGGCGGCACAGGCCGGGGAGCACCCGAGGCAGGGACCAACCACCCTTTCCCTCAGGAGGGCCGCGGGGGCTGGGGGGC